CGCAAATCGGTCTTCCACCCGCGGCATAGACCCATAGTAGTGGCCGACGACAGCCACGTCCCGGAAGCCGAATGCTCGCACTTTGCGGAAGATCCTGATCTTGACGTCGGGCGTGTGGCCGAAAGGGGTCGCTGTGGCCGACTCAGGGATGCTGTGGTCAATGCCGTCGAGGGGGCTGACCACACGGAGCCGCTCATGAGTGGTGGGCAAGGCGGCCAGACGAGGCAACAGCGACTGCAGAAGGCGCTCCCACTGGAGATCCTCCCTGCTCGACATTGCTGGTGAGCCAGACCTGCGAGATCCCGGGAAGAGAGAGCGGTTTCACAGCTCCCCAAGTCTGCGAGCTTAGCTGTTGTGAGGAAAAATGAAGCATCGCAAGAAGCCGAGAAGGCAGCGCGGTCAGCAGATCTCCACAAGCAAGGCAGAAGGAGGCAAAAGATCTCGAGATGCCGCCGTCACATACAAAGGGTGAGTGAGTTCCACTGTGAGGAGAGGGCGGAGGGATTTAAGAAGGAAGCCGCTGGACGAGCACACACCTCCCTTTGCTCCTCTGTTGGTGCACTTTGTGCTTGTCGATTCAGGTTCTCGCCTGATGTGTTTTGGTCCGTTGAGCGGGTGCCCCTGGCCTCTCTCTCTGCTGGTGATTTCTTCTATCGGTTCGTCAAGCGGAGGATGCCGGTGGTGCTCACTGACGCATTGAGCAGCGAATTCAAGGGTCTCCAGCGGTGGACAAACAGCTATCTGCGACGGAGGGCCGGCGACTCATCTGTCGATGTGGAGTACCGGCGCAATGTCTTCGATCACTTCGGTGAGGGACGGGCAGGCAGTAGAGGTCCGTCATCGCTTTGTCTTTGGCCGTGCAGGTGAGGGCCGCAAAGTGAAGATGGCCTTCGGTGCTTTCCTCGATGAGCTCGACAACGGCAAGTGATCCACTTGAAGCCCAGAAAACAGTCAGAGGCTGATTGTGTTGCCTGGATGTTGGGTGCAGGTCGCGAGGATCTCTACTTGACCACACAGACGATAGACGAGACCGACACCGGTCAGTCAACACACCACTCTGATGGACTCTGTTGATGGCTGTCCACCGGGTCTTGGGTGTTGCGTGCAGGTCCTGTGTCGCTCACCGGGCATCCCGTGTCCGCCCTGCTCGCTGATGTGCCGTTGAGGCCCAAGCTGTTCGGGTAGGAGAGGATGGAAACAACCAATTGTTCTCTCGGCGGCACACTATTGTTAGTCTGCTTGTGCAGTCACCTCTTGCCGTATCAGTACAACATGTGGATGGGGCAGAGCCGCGCTGGCACCACCAGTGGACTCCACCATGACTTTGTGAGACAGATGCACAGCCAACCGTCATGCCGTTTGCATTTCCTTAGTTGTGTGTATGCAGCACGACAATCTGTATGTGTTGCTGCGTGGGCGGAAGGTCTTCCGCCTCTACAGCCCCGACAAGGCGCACCAACTCGACACCACAGGTATGCCGGCCAGGCAACACACCATTAGACCTTGAGACGTCCGTCACCCACTCTGTCTTTCTGTGTCTGTCAGGCAATGTGTCTGTGATCCATCCGAATGGACTGATTTGCTATGAGAAAGGCATCAGGGAAGATGGTCAGTGGGCAGTAATTACCCGTCGCGTGTGTCCAGCTCATTGACCTTTGTGTCGCCCCACCAGGTGCCCCCCGTGCAGCGGTGCACCAGTGGAAGCTCGGCCGAGTGTGTCAGCGACACAGCGACCTGCAGCGCACAGCCAGCCAACATGGTGATGCCTCGGAGAGAAAGCTGCCCCTACCAACCTGATGGATGTTGGCTGTGTGTTTGATTCAGGGTGTGAAGATTCTCGGCGTGACGCGGCCATCCAGGAGGCCGACGACGAGTGAGCGACCAGCATGACCATGGTCACACACGTGGAGATATCACAGCTGTGATGTCTGCCTGCCTGCCTGCCTGTAGGGTGGAGGCGCTTCTCGATGCGGCCCTCGACGGACGTAAGCAACACATCACTCTGCAGGCACATGGTGGCACATGAGTGTGCGTCGGTTGCTGCAGATGATGATGCAGCGGATGACTTTGACACCCTCACGGCTGAAGAGGACGAGCCAGCCTCATCAACACAGGACAAAGACGGCAGCAGACCACCACAGGTACACACAACAGCCATGTCCCAGCTACTTCTCTGTCATCCACCTGTGTGCATCGATGTGTGTGTGTCAGGTGGTGCCCGAGGGCGAGAGGCCGCCCAGCTTCTGTCGCCACAACACAGTGGACCGGCACCTCCCCCCCGCTCCCGGCCTGACAGACAATCCCGACCCCATTTGGCAGCAGTACCATCAAGTGACCGTCAAGGCGGGAGAGATGCGTAAGTGACAGCCAGATTGACTCGCTGACAACCTGCTGAGACCATGGCTGCATGTCTCTGTGTGTGTGTGCAGTGCATTTGCCGGCGAGTTGGTTCCATGAGGTGATCAGCTGTGATGATGCAGGCGGTGAGGAGGAGCGGTCTGCCGACCGGCCAGGCCACATGGCGTTGAACTACTGGTTCTACCCCCCTTCGTCCGATGGTCTGTCAGCAGCGACACATGAGGCATGAACGAACGAGCGCTTGTCTGCCTGTCTGTGACTGGCTGGTTGCGTCAGGCACTGCTGACGAGCCATACGAAGACTTCTTCTGGGCAGACCATGTGCGGCCGCTGCTGGACGAGCTGGACAAGAGGGCCGGCCGACCGAGGGATGGTGCTGATGTCAAGACGAGAAAGCGGTCAGTGGCGTCGGGTTACTGCTGATTCAGATGATGAGAGGGAAGAGGAGACACATGATCATATAGTGTTGCCAGCCCTGAGGCCTGCTGTGCCTCCCTCGTCTTGACAAGGACTGTGTGTGAGGGATATTGGTTTGTGAATACTCTTTATCGGTGTTTCAGAAGATATGTGAGGCACACTTCGCTGCACACACAGACATTCAGCAACGCCAACACACACACCCCACTGTCATCCATCTCGCTCTGTCGCCACTTGGCTGTTCGACTAGTGCGCTCCAGCTGAGAATCAGGCCCTGTAGCTTTCACGGCGTATGTGAGTGCTTTGTGTCTGTCGCACCACTCCGGACGCTGACACGGAAAAGCACCCGGCTCTGTCTCTTGTCTTTCTGCCTGAGCGTGTGCATCTGCCTCTGTTTGCTCGTGTGGGTGCTTTGTATGACATCCGAATGGACGATTCTTTTCAATGCGAAAGGACCGACGCACACATATCAGTCACGTCCGCCTGCCCACGTCTGTATCAGACATGAAAACCGAATAAATCGACGCTGAAAGACAACAGCGTGTACGGTGGTATCTCTGCTGCTCATCGACAGCAGCATCTTGCGTCACAGTACCGGCACGACTCGCATAAAAAAGCCGCATCACTGGACGAAGCATACGTCTCGCAAAAGAAGCGCTATGATGGGCACAAAAATTGGTATATTGACCTCCAGGGTACAAGACAGGGATACACATCGGTGCATTACGGCAGAGGCACTGCTGACTCCTACCCCATGTATGACCGACACGCTCAAACCTGACACACACGTGGCTGACTTCATAAAGCCGTTGCACAGTGCAAGAATTGCCGCAGATCAACACGCAACCCAACACAAACAGAGGGCACCACCCACACACAGCAACACGAGCATTCGATCAATTGCACTGGCGTGCGGCACGTCCTCTCGGGCACGTCCTCTCACGCGAAGACAGAGCACTCGCAGACAGAGGTTTGGGGAAGTTGACGGGCAGCGGTCGGAGGGCGTCAGGCTCGATGGCGGGGAGGGGGCCCCTCATCACCTGACACACACGACACACCTCGGGGGATGTTCGCGGACGTGCAGATGCGTGTGTTTTTCGCGGCACCTGATACACTTCAACGACGTCAGCCGTGAAGTAACGGCTGTCCGCCAGAAGGTTGTGAACCGCATTCCACTTCCTGCCGGTGAATCCTGGTGGTGTGATGCCTTTGTCGATCCACTGACAGCAGCTGAGGATGGAGGGGGACGGAGTGGCCGACTTTGAATGCCCCAGCCACAGGTTGCCGCGTGCCATCGTGATCTTGCCGGATCCGAGGCCGGGGTTCGCCGTCGCTACAGCTCCGTCCCTCCCGGCCACTTGCACCCGCTGTCTGTCCTGCGGTGGGTGGATCTGTGTGGGCTGAGGAAAGCTGCCGCTGAGCGAAAAGAGGAAGAGGTCGCCTGTGGTCATCTGAATGGATGTTGGATTGTTCGGTTGGTTGAGGGGCCCGTCGAAGAAGACGCCAAACTTGTTGCTGTTGTTCTTGACGGCGAACAGCAGACGGCGGGCCGACCCCACCTTGCCCATGAAGTCAGCGAATGTGTCGCCGTCACGTGTCGACCTGACAGACAACAGAGGCAATTCTCCTCACGTATCCACTGCTTGATTCACACACCTTTTGTCTCACCTGTAGAGCAGCTGGAGGGAGGGTCGCCTTAGCCACTGCCGCAGATGGGGTACGTGCGGCCCCTCGATGATTGAGGCCGCGTCAGAAATGCCAAAGCTGACCTTGTCGACCTGTAAACACCAAGAATAATGCCATCGGTCGCGTTTTCCTCTGTCTTTCCCCTCCTCTCACGTGTCGGTAGATGTATCTGAGGTTGTTGGGATCGTTGAAGTTGCACTGATGGCCCTCACTCAGCACTAGCTGAATCGTCGTCAAAACGCCCCTCGCGTGGATCTTCTTCTCTGTAACTGTCATTGACGAAAAATCGTTGCCAATGAGGCGGTAATAGCTGGGCAAGCATGTCGACATCGGTCGTCATCGGAGCAAGCCGTGCACCCTCTGTCGCACCAACCTGGACGGAGCCAGACGACACATGCGACCGTTTCTATCTACGTGCCTGCTGGCGGCTGACCACTCGTGGCGGCAGCCCCCGCGTTGTCTGTCTGTCGTGTCTGAAGACGCTGTGGACCCACGAGTAGGCGTTGCTGCCGAAGATGGGGCAGTCATCACTGATGGGCTCACCGGGGAAACTCAACTCATGCAGCGACCGGGCTGTCTCGACGGCCTGTGAAACAACCCACACACGGCGGCAGCTTAGAAGGGCGTTCCGGATGGCCCGCCCCTGCACCCTCACCGTGTCTAGTTTGTAGAGTTGCGCGACTTGGTTGTTGCCGCAGCTGTGCAAGTAGCCCAGATACTGCAATGAGCAGTTGTGGCCCGTCTGTGCTGCCTGGGGGATGAAGCCCGACCAGACGCCGTCCGCACCACGCCGGACACACTCCAATGCCGCCGCCTGTGAGCTGTCGCCGTGCGGCCCAGCGTGTGAGTGCACCAGCAACTTGAAGCGATTCCCAGGAAACAAGGCCCTGAATACAGCATGACAAGCACAATTGGAGATTCTGCTCATTGCTCTGTCATGGGACTCACCTAAGGCGCTGAGTCACTTCGCCGTACTCATCAGCAAACGCAATGCCTTTCGCGCCCTCAAAGCAGACGCCTTTCAGAATCGGTATCCTCTCAGACGACAGGTAATCGATCACTTCCTGCACTCGTAAACACAATGAGGGCAAGACGTGCGTTATCCTCGACCAATGACACTCACGAGTGTCATCTCACCTTCACTTGTGGCGAGTCCATGGTGACGTCGAAGTCGAGCAGATCCACGAAGTTGATGTACAGGTGATTGCGCTTCAGCCACCTGTACCCCGACGCGCTGGGCTGAGAGTCTTCGTGAGGCATGCCATCATTGTCGGCGGCCATGACCACGTCCCTGTCGAGCCTCCTGAAGTGCTCGTGGATGCGGC